CGGGCGGTGTGGATCGTCGTTTATAATATCGTTTTTTATTATTTTTTTTTTTTTTTTTTAAATCCATCTATCTCGCGTATCGACAGCCGAGATACGATACGAGGTGGCGGGCGAATACGAAGGAAGGGAATCGGTAATAATGTCTCTCCGTGTATTATTCGAGCATCGATGCTCGAATCGGAGGAGGAGGATATAAACGAGGCCCCACGATCCCACGATTCTCGATTCTCGATTCCCACGATTCGCGACAGAGTGGAGGATTCCCTTCCAATTCGCATTCGCAGAGACGTAACGTCGGTTTGCTTGACCCCGCGGGTCAAGTGACGTTAATTAGTCAATCGAATTATTCGGTCGTTCGACCTCCGCCGAGTTAACTTTATCGAGGCTAAATCGATCATTTCGTGCGCTTCAATCCCTTTCTTTTTCCCCCCCCCCTTTCTTTCTTTCTTTCTCCAGATCGGGCTGAAGAAACTTACCGAGATCTCGAGGGGCAGCGTCCGGATCGAGAAGAATCCCGCCCTCTGCTACACCACCACCCTTAACTGGGACCTCATCGTCTCCGCGGGGGAGAACGTGATCAAGGACAACGGAGAGGAGGCCTCTTGCCCCGGTATATATATATATATATATATAGTCTCCTTCTTTCTCTTTCGCTTTTTCACCCCTTCCCCTCCGAATGCATTTCTTCGAATGCACGAATGGAAGAGGAGGAAAACTTTTTACTCTTTTACCCTTTCCTTTTTCCCCCCCCTCCTCGCATAAAATTGTCAATTGTCGAATCGATCCTTTTCTCTTCTCTCTTTCCTTCTTTCCTTCTCTCCCCTTTTTTCCCCGCAAAGGATGGTACTTAACGCGCTAAGTATAGCAATTGAACTCATGGCCGGACATTAAGTGCGCTTAATAGTCGGCATGTCACGAGTCACTCGATTCTTTCGACGCTTTGCGCTCTCGCATGTCAAAGATACATTCGTCGATGCGAAATTACCGCCATTAATCGAGTCTCTCTCTCTCTCTCTCTCTCTCTCCCCTCTCCGCAGGATGTTCCCACTGTCCTGCCGGTTATTGTTGGACTTCCCAGTATTGTCAGAGGATGGAAAAACCGAGATGTCACGAGCAGTGTCTGGGCGAGTGTCACGGCCCCACCGAGAGCAAGTGTTACGTTTGCAAGCATTATCGCCACGAGGGGAAATGCGTCGAGACGTGCCCCGCCCATCTGTGAGTAACAAACTTTCGTCTTCCTCTCCTCCTCCTCCTCCTCCGTATCCCTTCGAGTTACCAAAAAAAAAGAAAGAAAGAAAAATTGGAAAAGATTCTCCGCTCATTCTCTGCTTGCTCGAATTTTTCCACAGATATTCCTATCTCTCGAGGCGGTGCGTCACGAAAGACGAATGCGTAAAGATGAATCGTCTGAGGAGAGTGTACTACGTTCTGGAGGATGGCCTGGCATGGAGACCGTTCAATGGATCGTGCGTGACTCATTGCCCCGACGGATACGAGGACGCCCTCGACGAAAACAACGTACGTTCGTTTCGTTCCGAAAATTCTCGCGATCCCCTCTCATCTTAACTCGATCAATTTCATCAATTCTTGAAGGAGGATTTAAAAAAAATTCCATTTTTTTTTTTAATTCAACGCTCGATGCAAAAAGGAAAAGAAAGTATTAGGTAGAATTCAAGCCATACGTTAAAATGCTAAATCGCCAATTATAGAACGATCTCCGTTCGAGGAGACTCGAGGGTGGTGGTAATTGGCAATTGCGCGCCGACCAAACATGGCGTATAGAAATACTAATAGAGCTACCGATATCGCGCTCCATTCGAAATATGATTTACGCGCGTACATGCATATTTCAAATAAGATATTTTTCCGTTCGCTGAAAAACTTGTCGCTGATATAGTCATACCGGTTCTTCGGCATCGAAGCCGAGAGGAGAACCGATTCAACGACGACTCGCCTACCCACGTTCCTCTTATGTATAATAATATCAATGATGATAAATTATATATATATATGATAATAATAAATTTTCCTATTTTTGTCTGTTTTGCAGATGACCACGTGTCGCGCTTGCATGAACAGTTGCCGGAAGGTCGGGCACGGAGCTTTGATCCGTCACATATCGGACGCCCAAAGTTTCCGGGGTATAACGGTGGTGAAGGGGGCGCTCGAGTTCCAGATACGAAACGGTAACCCGAACATAATGAACGAGTTGAGCGAGGCGTTCGGCCGGATCGAGGAGATAACCGAGTACGTGAAGATCACCCATTCGTTCCCGATCACCTCGCTGAGCTTCTTCAAGAGGTTGAGGGTGATCAAGGGCGAGCAGCTGGACATAAACAACGCGAGCCTTTCCGTGCTCGACAATCCGAATCTGTCGAGCCTGTTCCCGCCCGAGCAGGAGATCAGGATCGAGAACGGCCGTCTGTTCTTCCATTACAACCCGAAACTCTGCCTGTCCAAGATCGTGCAGTTCAGCAAAATGGTGAACATCTCCAACTTCACGGATCTCGAGGTCCAACCCCAGTCGAACGGGGAGAAGGTCGCGTGCAACATAGTGAACATAAACATAACGGTGAAGAATCTCGGCCCCGATTACGCGGACCTGATGTGGGACAGTTACAAGGCGCCCGAGGGGCAACAGTTGCTCAGCTATCTGTTGAATTACATCGAGACCGAGAACGAGAACATCACTTACGAGATGAACGCCTGCGGCGGGAACAACACGTGGCAGATACTCGACGTGGACATACCTAGATGGACGTCGCCCGTTTCCAAGCACATCGCCAATTTGAAACCGTACACGATGTACGCCGTTTACGTGAAAACGTTCAACTCGAGGACAACGAATTTCTTCGTGAACCCGAACGAGGTCGGCCAGTCGAGGATCATCTTCTTCAGGACCAAGAGCACCATACCATCCCCCCCTATGAACGTGATCTCGGGCCCGTACAGCGACACCGAGATCCTCGTCAAGTGGGAGCCACCCTTGTTCCCAAACGGGCCCATAGGATACTACATGCTATCCGCCACCATGATCCGGGAGGACGAGGGTTTGATCTCGTCCAGGGATTACTGCAACGACACGTTGGAGAACGAGCTGGACGCGGAGGAGAGGACGGTGGTGGTGCCCGATGTGACGGTGAAGACGCCCGTCGCGAGCAGGGGCGGCGTCTCGTGTTGCTCCAAGAACCCGGGCCGGAGCGTGGTCACGTCCAAGAAATTCGAGATATTCTGCCACGAGAACACCACCATCAGCTACATATCCCCCGGTTGGAAGGATTACTGCGTGTACAACAACTACAACGCGGTCGACAACCGGTTCTACGAGTTGGCCAACAACCTGTCCACCCCCAGGCCGGAGGACGACAAAGTGGACGCGTCCAGACCGAGCAACGACAACAACAACGACGACGACGACGACGACAATAATAAAGTGGTGGTGGTGGACAAGGACGCGGTCATGTACAACGTGAGCGGGCGAAACAATTCGTACGTGATCAACGATCTGCGCCATTACTCCCGCTACATAGTGACCATAGCAGCGTGCGGCGTCAAGGTGGACGAGTCGAACATGTGCTCGTCGATCCAGTACACGCACGCGAGGACGAGGAAGCGTGGCCGCGCCGACGACGTGGGCAACGTGAGGGTGAGGGTGACCAACAACACGATAGTGGAGGTGTTCTGGGACCTGGTCAAAGATCCCAACGCCCTCACCGTCTCGTACACCATCGAGTACACGAATCTGGACGTGAAGGACGCGAAGAAGAGCACCGAGTGCATCCCCCGGACGAGCCAGCCCCGTACCGACACGGGCAGTTACCTGATCAAGAATCTGAGCCCTGGCAAGTACAGCCTTCGAATGAGGTCCACCTCGTTGGCCGGGGACGGCCGTTTCTCGGACGTCGTCCACTTCTCCATAGACCTGACCGACTCGGCACCCGTCACGTTGGTCGCGTTGCTCGTGCTCTGCGTCCTGGCAATGGCATCGGTAGTGTTGTTCGTCGTGTGGAGGCATCACCGGAAGAGGAAGAATCAGGAGAGATTGATCGCGAGCGTGAACCCCGATTACATAGAGACGAAATACGTGATCGACGAGTGGGAGGTGCCCAGGGAGAGCGTGGAGATCTCGAACGAGCTTGGGTTGGGGAATTTCGGCATGGTGTACAGGGGCGTGTACGACAAGAGCGTGCCGGTGGCCATCAAGACGATCTCGAAGACGGCCAGCCAGAGGGAGAAGAACGAGTTTCTGAACGAGGCGTCGGTGATGAAGAACTTCTCCACGTTTCACATAATCAAACTGATAGGAGTCGTCTCGATCGAGAACCCACCGTTCGTCATCATGGAGCTGATGGAGAACGGGGATCTGAAGACGTATCTTAGGCGGATCCGCGACACCCGCCTCGTGCCGGACACGTGCAGGATCATGAGAATGGCGGCCGAGATAGCCGACGGGATGGCCTATTTGGAGTCGAAGAAGTACGTCCACCGGGACCTGGCTGCGCGCAATTGCATGGTCTCCAAGGACCTGGTGTGCAAGATCGGCGACTTCGGGATGGCGAGGGACGTGTACGAGACGGATTACTACAAGATAGGGAGGAAGGGCCTGCTCCCGATCAGGTGGATGGCGCCCGAGAACCTGTCGGACGGCGTGTTCACGTCCGACTCGGACGTGTGGTCGTTCGGCGTCGTGCTCTACGAGATCCTCACCCTGGCCGAGATCCCGTACCAGGGTTTCTCGAACGAGGAGGTGCTCAGCCACGTGTTGCACAAAGGGACGTTGAACGTGCCACGCGATTGCCCCGAGAACATTCAAAAGATCATGGAGAAGTGCTTCAAGTGGCGGCCCAGCGACCGTCCAACGTTCATGGAGATCGTGTCCGAGCTCGAGCCGTTCCTCGGCCAAGACTTCTACGAGAAGTCGTTCTACCACTCGATGGAGGGCGTGGAGAGCCGCAACTCGGGCCTGAAGAAGCCCTACCATCACGCAGCCCCTATCAGATTCCATTGGGGCAACGAAACCGCCAGGTGGGTCAAGGAGTTCGAGGACAACGTCACGCTGTTGGACCAGACCAAGGCCGGGACCAGCAGGGCGCGCATCTTCAAAAACGGTTTCCAGCACTTTGGTAACGTAACCGCCAACATGGAAGACGTGCCTCTCGATCGATGAGCTCGTAAAAAGCGAGTCCATATATCCATATATATACATACATATATATATATATATATATATATATATATACATACATATATATATATATATATATATATATACACATATATATATATAGAATTTCGCGCGATGGCGCGCGTATGTTCCTTCGAAGGGTCGAGAAGCGTCCCGCCCCCGCCCCCGCCCCCTCCCCCTCTCCCCCGACAAGTCGGAAAACTCGTTCGGATACGATACGTACAAAAGGATAGTCAGGGCGGGGTGAATCGTACGGAACGAGAGGGCCCGACGAGTTCGATGGACGGGGAGAAGTGACAGGCAAGGATGTTTTCTCTTTACTTTTTTTTTTCTCGTTTTTATTATTATTATTTTTATTATTATTATTATTTTTTTTTTTCGTTCTCTTTCCCTCCTTCCCCCTGTTTTTTCTTGCCAACGGGAAGACAGAAACAATGGGCAACAACTCGTGTTTCATCGGTGCTCGTTGACTTTCGATTAGGATCTTGATGATGATGATGATGGTGGTGGTTGAAACGTGAAAAATGATTTTTTCGCGCATTCTTCCTTATTATAGACAGGAACGGAAGCTAAATATGCGCTGAGCCAAAAGTGTCTGATTCTTGGTGTCGAATTTCGGATATTTTTTTTTTTTTTTTCTCTCCTCTCTGCTAGAAAAGCGTAACCAAAACGTTCTTAGTTCTGTTCCTCTATCGTGCAAGTTCTCGAGAAAGTTTGTTCGTTCCTTCAAAGAAAAAGATATATATATATACTTTTCATATGTATTTTTATGGTTTCGTTCTTTTTTTTTTTTTTCCTTCTCATTTGCGAGTATTTTTCGTTTTTCTCTTCCTCTTTCTTCTCCTCCTCCTCCTGTTCCTTCTCTTTTCTTTTCTCTCTAGATTAGTTGATAATTCTAGAATAGAATTCTAGAAGAATAGAATTCGTGAATTCTAGATGATGTTTCTAGCGACACGCGTTTCTGTTGTACTCGTAGCCTTGTAACGCGCAAAGAACTGATTAATTATATTACACGTATTATACGGAAAGAAGTCGCATCAGAGGATACGTAGGATACGATGAATTCATTTGTTATTTCGACATACGTTCATCGTTGATTAAAACTCGAAATGTAGTAGAGTGTATATAACGACGAATTCGTATGTATATATGTGTGCACGAGTTTCCGCGCGAGAAGCGGAAGAAGAGGGCACGCGTCGCGTCGTTACTTCCTTCGTCGAGGGATCCCGATTTCGAAAAAAGTTGCAAGCTCGTCGGAACGCATTTTTGCTCCATTCGTCAAGTCGAAACTCGACGCGTCGTGCATTGACGCATACATATCTCTAACGAACGCTCTGTCAAAAAAAGGAAGGAAAAAAGAAAGAAAGAAGACTTAGCAATACAGAGAGAATAAGAGAATCCTTCTCCTTTTCCCGTAATACGCAATTTAAGGATTTCAAATTTGTTCGGTTCGTTTTCTTTTCTTTTTTTCTTTTTTTAACCGAACGAACCGAATATCGTATTATTTTTCTTCGAAAGAAAGTGGAAAAGATAAGATAGAAAAAAATAAATTGCCCTTCGCGGAGAAAAATCGCGGTGCAGCAATAATTTTATCGATTCTATTATTTCACTAAACTTTTCGCAATGGAAATATAATAATGGAAACGTAATTCGAATCCTATTCTCTTCCCGTTGGCAAGGATATCTTGGTTGAACGGCACGTTTTTTTTTTCCATCTTTATTAGATTATTAGATCCCGTTACGTCACGTTTATCGAATCGTTGTATATTTTATATATGTGTATATATATATATATATATATATATATATATATATATATATATACACATATATATATTGCCTCGACGAGAGAAAGAAATTTATCGTTTTGGACGCGAGATAATCTCGAACGACGTCGTAAACTTTTTTTCTCCCCTCCCCTACGATTCGAACGAACGTTAATTGGATGGTGGCGAAAAATAGAGAACGCGAATGTAATTTCTCGCTTTTGTCTCTCCATAAAGGAGAAAAAAGAAGAACGAAAGAGAAGAGAAACGAGAGATTTGACAAGAAAACATTACCACGAGCATAGATTATACATCTTATCTTTATCCCGCGTATTCGTACACGGGAAACGAAAGAAACATTCCGTTCAACCGAAGGTAAAAATCAGAACCGATCCCCTTCTCGCTCGACTCTTCCTTCCTTTCTTCCTTCCCTTTTCTCCCAACTTTTTCTAAATCCTCTCCCCTCCCTCCACCGAATTCACTTCCAATTCATCCTGTAATTCCAACGTGTTCCATCAAGAAGAACGATCGAGAGAGAGAGAGAGAGAGAGAGAGAGAGGGAGGGGGAAGAGACAGAGAGAGAGGAAGAGGAGAGAGAGAGAGGCAGCTGCACCGCGATGCACCGCCACCCCATTTCGTTCACGAATCGATTCCAGACTGTGTTCATACGACGGAGACGAGCTGCGGCCGACAGAGACAGAGCGAGAGCCAGGGAAGGGGATGACTTAGACGATCGTCGAGCGCTCGAGAATCCATAGACGCGTATACTATACGTAAATACACATATATATTACAGAGTTCCTTGTTCCGATATACGCGCGTGTATCCGCGCGTATTTCGCACGTTTGTTGCGCGTGGCCTTCAAACGTTGTACATAATAATATTTTATTCGCGAGGGAGGATGATGGGGCAGGGAAGGGGGCACGCGCGTGCAAACACGAGTATACGTCGTTCTAGATATAAAGAAGGAGAAGAAAGAAAAAGAAGAAGAAAAAAAAAAGAAATTTGCAATAAGCATGCCAACAATCTTCTCGCAATAAGTAAGGAAACGCATTAACGGTATACAAAGTACGAGATTAATTGAACGTTGTAAACGTTGTAAGTAATAGCGGCGGCGTAAAGTATAGTAGGCGTAAAGTGAAAAGAAGAAAATTTAAGGAAAATAACAGAAAAGAAATATATCTCTATTTTATTGTAACATATATATTTATATATGTATGTATGCACGATCGCTCGTCAATATCCGGACACTTCGACGAGTTTTATACGACGAATTAATGGCAGAAGTAATTGGAACATATTCTTTTCTTTTCTTTTCTTTTTTTTTTCCTCTCTTCGTAAAATTAACAAACCGTGAAATTTTAATCGTCCATCGAAGAATAACCCATCCTATATTTTATTACGAAAAATGTTCTTTCTCTCTGTTCGTCGATCAAAAAGAACTTTTCGAAATAATCGACACGGGAAAATTCGAAACGTCGAGTCTTAAAATTCGCATCGTCTCTTCGATCGTTATTCGCATCGTGATATACCGGGTTATATACACTGGTGGTGATCTGCGGAAAGCCGGTACATAAGATCCATTGCAAATCCATTTATTCTCAATTTTATAATTGAATCACTTCCTGCCTCGAGCGATCAAGTGTCTGGATACTTTTGAACGGTGGTGTGTATGCACGATATATACGTATACATATACATATACACATAGATACACATTCGAATAAGTATTTTTTCGGTGGCTCTATATTTATACTTCGATCGATCGAACGTACACACACATACACGTATATACATATATATATACATATATATATATATATATATATATATATATACACACACGCGTACATATGTACACTGTTAGAAGGGAGGTAAAAAGGGGGGGGGGGAGGGGGACAGAGACGAGAAAGGTGTCTCGTGGCACCGCGAATACATTGGCGCAGGTACAGACGGAAGTTCAAAGAAGACTTATCGACCACTGTTGCGAAGAGTCCTTTCTGCCTGGATTCTTCCCGCTTATCGAAAGACAACTATGTGTTCGATTTCTTATTCTCGGTAATTCGAGTTTATTTCGAGAGGACAATGTGATACAGAGACGAGGATACGAGGATGTTTCGTTTTTCTTTCTTCCTTTTTTTTTCTTTTTTTTTTTTTTTTTTTTGTAATATACACTCGTTAACTATATAGTTTTCCATAAAAATGTGAGGGAGGAATTTAAGAGAGGTTAGAGGTTATGTTATCGAAAGATGAGAAAAAGTTGGTTTGGTTGTAAAAAGAAAAAAGTTTGTTTTTTTTTTCTTTTCTTTTGATCATTCTTCGCGAATCCCACATTTTTTTCGAGATTCGTAAGTAATTAATTAGGATCTTCGTGTTCAGTATTTGTAGTTAATTTTAGAGAAAAAAAAAAAAAAAAAATGTAGAAACGTTGGAACGAAACACCTTGTACGCGTGCAACTGTATCACGGTATCGAAATCTTTTATTTAACTTAAGAATCGACTATCCACAGAAAGTTGAAACAGTATACCTAATTATACCTATATATATATGCAGACGAATATTTTATTATCGAAATAGTGTTTCTATTTTATGAGATATTTGTATATATATTTAACTTATTCGTATTTAATTCGGGGGCGTAGCTCGCGATCCTTTATTCTAATTATTACCGAATTAGAAGTTCCTTTAATTTAGAGCAATAGATTAAAACGGTATCGTACGATTTCATAAAATATTTACTTTAATTTATACACAAATAATAAAAGTAAATAACGCTGATAATTTATAAAAATAGCGAATAAGGATGATTGATACGTAATTAGAAAATTTTGAATTCTGCGAATACTACCCTTTTCTCTTCTTTCTTCGTTTTCTTCGAACATCGATGGATGATGAAACTGGATCGATCCGACGAGATGATTTCTTAATACTTTTGCAGAGAGAGAGAGAGAGAGAGAGAGAGAGAGAGGATGTAAGAAGAAAAAAACTCGTAGACTCGTCTTCGCTTTAAGGATTAATCTATTTATCCGCACGAATAGCATTCAAAGAGAGAAAGAAAGAGAGAGAGAGAGAATAGGAGGGAAAAAGGATGGAACAGGGATAGAAGAAATCTCGATTACGAAAGACATGGCGAGAATTTTTTTTATACACATCGACGGCATATCTTTCTGTCGACAAAGTTTCTCTCCAACTAATTCCGTCTTTGTCTTCTTCTCGCCCTACGGTGATGATTCCTTCCGTAAAGCTGGAATTTACTTGGAAATATTTCTCTTCGCGTTTCGTTTCGCAATTTTTTTTTTTTTTTTTTTTTTTTTTTTTTTTTTTATTTTTCCTCCCCTCGATGAAGATTGATTTTTTTTAATAATGGATAGTACCAGCGAGACCAAATACCATAAAACGGTTGGGCAAACGGCGAGGATACTACGATCGTCGTATGAGAGAATCCTCTCGAAATCAAGCGTTGAGATCGTATCGTCATCGTCGTGCATACGTTGTACATATTATGACAAATAATGATAATAATCGTCAATCGTTAAACGGCTCTGCTATTCGTATATATTTCGTTGGTTGGAAAAAAAATTGACCCGATATTCCTTTCGAAATTTTGATAATTATTGGACGAACGATCGACCAAAAATAGAGCATAGTATAGCAGTTCGACCTTTCGGTAATTTGTCCCGAAATAAGCGGTCAAACGATTGATGGAATTAAACGGATATAAATAATCGTTGAAAATTTTTAATCCATGCTACTTGCGAGGGAAGAAAATATTTGAAGAAACGGATCATTCTCGAAGAATGATTCTTCGTTCCACGCGTAATATACGTATAATAATGCTAAATTAAAAAGAGGTAGGAAAAAAGGAAACAAAGAAAAGGGTAAAAGAGAACGGACAAAATTAAATTAAATTAAATTAAGGAGAGAGAAGGGGGGAAACTGTAGTTTTCTCGAAATACTTTCTCAAAATACTTTAAATGGGCATTACAAACTTGTATATTCGTCGCGAGTCTCGCGTTTCAATGATATACGACTATTTTTTACTCGTTGCAATAAATAGAGATTTAAAAAAAAAAAAAGAAAAAAAAAGAAAAAAAAAATTTGTACATAAGAAAGAAGTAGAACGAGAGAGGGGGAGGGGAGAGGGAGAGAAATTCTATGGTTTCTATCGAGCAAGCATTCACGAGGGATAAATAAAATAAGAGAGAGAGAGAGAGAGAGAGAGAGAGAGAGAGAGAGAGAGATAAAATAGTTTAGAATAAATTAAATACAGAGAGAGGGGGAGAGAAAAAAAGGAGGAGGGAAAGTTCAAAGGAATGTCGGGTCAACAGGGGGGGAGGGAAAGTTCGATAACTAATAAAAAAAGAAAAAGAAAAAAAAAAAAAAAA